CATAACATGTACTAGCGGAATGATCTGGTATTGTAAAATTATTTTTTTATATGTTGCACACCGTGTGAAAAATCAGTTGTATTACATCAACGTTCTTACCTGTAATTTCGGATAAGTGTGTCAGAAAAAAAAAGGAGAATAATGCAAGCAAAACAATTAATTTTACATGTACTAATTTTTTATAATATGAAAAAGAAAGCATAAAGGTTTACGCCTTATATTTGGTTGCCAGTTTGTTGATATTAACTGTAACTAGAACTCAGAATTCCTCAAACGGGAATCGTCTAAAGCCAGGTATATATATAGTAATTTATACGCATCACGTGATTTATAGTTTACAAATTTGTTAGCGTTAGTAATCAATTTAAAAACTATATACCTGGCTTTATTAGACGACCTCCATAAACGAATAAAAATCATAATATATACTATGTATATTATATTATTTTTTATTATTTTTTAAACAAATTATCGAATACATCGATTAATAAATAAATCTTCTTCGTTATATCACTTACATCATAAATTAAACATGTCTAAAAGAGAAATATTAGGTAAAGACAAATGCTACAAGCTTGGGTACCAATTATAAGTGTATTATCAATAATTTTATTCTTATTAAATCAACTACAGTAAAATCAAAAAGTATTTATAATAGTAAATTGTCATGAATTTAATTAGACTATATAGACCTCATCAATTAATAAAACCGTACTATACACGTTACTCTGGATATCAACAATTTTTTTTCATTAGTAAAAAAAAATTCAACCGTCAATACAATGAGTTATACCGATATTTTATATTAAAATTTGAAAAATATTGAGAAAAAAATTGTTATAGAAAGATTTTACTATGATGTCGTTATATCCAGATGTCGGTATAACCAGAGTGAAGTGTAGTTAGGGTTAGGTTAAAGCAATATTTATTAATGAAATTTTACAAGAACATTTTGAAACATTTTAATTAGGTCGCAGGTGATTTCCTGATTTAGCGCAGTCAAATTAAAAGCTTTTGAATTGTATCTGAAATCTGCTAAACTGGAAATAAAAAATGTTGGATATCGATATTGTTACCGAAATGGTTTTTTATTAAAATATTATTAAATAGAATTATAATTAATAAAACAAATTTCAAGGTATTTTTTTTCGATCTTTATTCCATTTATTGAATCATTATATTTATTGGTTTAATAAAAATAGATATAAAAAAATTTTGATTATTTTGAAAAATTGCTGATGACCGAATCGATAACTCGGTAACTTATCGATTCGGCCGTCAAAAAAATTTTCAGATATCCCAAAAATAATGAAAACAGCTGTAATGACAACGTGAAAAAAATATTGGACGATAAGAGATACTAATTATTATGGATCCCGTATAATAAATTTGAAAATATTGAAATGATCGGGAAGGGAAGATTTGCAACTGTATTTCATGCTAAATGTCAAATCAATATAGTAATTCTTCTCATAAATATTCGTTCTCAATTAAAAAAATTCATAATCAAGATTTCTTTGACGAGGTAAATTTATCGAACTTTCGTTCGATTTGAATTATGCCTAACAAATTTTTTTCTAAAAAAGTTAAAAACGTTTTGTGAGATCGGATATAAAAATCCATCGTTCTTAAAATACTACGGTCTTTCAAGAGATGATTCAGGAAATTACCTTTTTATTTTGAAAAACGCAGAAAAGTGACATTTACGTAACAATCTTCATGAAGTGTCGCAAATGAAGTGGAAAGAAAAACCAAATTTATTAAGTTGCATAACATATGATCTTGAAGCAATTCATTCACAAGGATTAGAACATCGAGATCTTCATAGTGGAAACATTTTAGTATATTATTGATTTGGGACTCTCTAATACAAAAGAAAAAAAAAAAAAGGAGGGAGAATTATTAGTCAACTCATTGAAGCAACAGGTATATATAAAATTCTCCCGATATTCACACTTTCGATGCTGGATATTTCCTGATAATTTCACGATTCGTAGAAATATGTCTAAGAAAATATTACTAACACTCTTGGTCTGTTTAACGATTCGTATAACAAATCCCAAAATGCCAGCCTTCGTAACATATTGATAAATTTCACGATTCGTAGAAATAGTATCAATAAACGGTACGGACCACGATCGAAAGCATGTACTGTAATATTGATCCTTTTTTAACAGTTCGGGAAGTTCATAACCGATCCTTCCTGCAGAACAAGTAGACCTCAAGCCTGTCAAAAAAGCATTAGTTGACATTAATGGACACTTACTTATTTTTCATATCACTTGTTTAAGTATTCTCTTATAATCTCTGAATCGGGTGTTTCATAACTGATAAAGTAAATAATACGAGTTAAACAATAACAGATAATATGAGTACATTACGTAAATAACAAACGTCATTTTGTAGATCAGGCCAATCAATTGGCTAGTTCAGTAGTTTATGTAGATCAGATTACGTAAACACGGGTTTGGGTGATTCTTATTCTTCACATGGCACGTGGACGTGATGCTAAAACATCACAAGAAATAATTAGTAACATGTGACATATTATTAATTATTTTTCCGTGATGATTTAGTGTCACACCTCATGCCGTGTGATGATTTTCCGTGCCCTAAACCCTACTTTTTTCACCGTATTTTTTATGAGAATTTCTATTTGTCGCGGGGGTATGTGTACATACACTCCGCGTAAAATAATAAAATTTCTTTTTATTATTGAATAAAAAAAATTTTATCGAATTTGGTGTCGAATAATATTCGTTCAAGATTTAAGCACCTATAAAAAAAAAACAGACCAAAATTTTTTTTACCTTTAATGAAGATTTCTTGACATCTAATTATCCTAATTCAATAATTTTTTTTATTTTAATTCTATGAATTAAATAAAAAAAAATTCATCGAATTTGTCTTACAGAAACTTAAATATCTTAATACGCTGTAACTGTATAGTAACGATTAAATTTGATTGTAGCTACATAGTTTACTGCGTATTAAGAGGTTCAAGTTTCTGTATAGTAGTTGTCAAGAAATCTTCGTTTAAAGTTGAAAAAAAATTTACCCGAATTCGGTTTTTTTCCGATACTCGAATGATTTTCAAAACATTAAATATTGATTTCGATACCTATCTATCCAAATTCGAGAAAATTTTTTATCTTCATTCTATAATAGCACATAATTAAATAAAAGATTTTATCAAATAATTATCGAAAAACCTTTGCTAAAAGTTTTAAAATTAAAAAAGGATTTTTATCCTGGTTGGCACATAAAAAATCGGGATCATCACGTGACAGGAAATTTTCTTATGGGTGATAGTGACTCGAATAATTCGAGTTCGAATCAAAAATTTTTTACTCACGAGTCAATTATTAATGCCGTAATGTATAATGAAGTTTAAAATGACTAATACTTTGCATTAATAAATTTTGCAAGCTGCATAAATAATGTCGTAATTTAACGTAATTATATGTAATTCTTTGAAATTTAAATAGACTTCGTACGTAATTTTATTGCAGTCGCAAATTTTTAATAAAAATAAAGAAATTTAAAAGGCTTAAAACCAATTTCATAATATAAACATGAAGCAAAACAAAAGCACTAATAAACGGAGGAATTTTGTAATAAAGAGAATGTCAAAACACAACTACCCATATGTCTAAAAGTAGATCTACTCTAAGCTTCGTCTGAGAATACAGTATTTTCGAAAAGAGGTTATAATTTCCACTTGAAGGATGACGGGAATCGTATAATTATGGGCTTCAAATTAAATTAACCATCTCGCCCATAAGCACAGAATAATTAAGATAGTTCTAGTCGATTCGTAACTTGTAATTGGTATATTTGTTTTATACACATAAATTGAATTATACTTGTTTTTATTACATACAAAATTGAATTATATTTGCTTCGTGTATTTGAAGTAATTTGGTTTAGCAATTTATCAATAAACTAATTGCCATGACTCGAATTACTCGAACAAAACTCAAATAAGCAATTCAATCGAATGATTCGAGCACTTTTCTTAGTTAATTCGCAAGTCACGAGTTTATACGAGTCCAGTCACTAATGGGTGACGTGTATAATTTTGCTAAACAGGAATTAATATGGCGGCCAGTAATAATACACCAAATAATTGGAATAAAATAAAATAGCATTTTGCGTGACATTTCTCGTGATACATTCAACGTTAATGGATAAATTATGTGAATTAGTAAATAAAAAAAAAACTTTAATCGCCTATATAGCGTTCAATACTTTACTATATCTTATATTTACTGAAAGAAATATTTATCCATCAAATTTTCATATGTTTATTGCTGATACAAAAGTGCGCATCAGTGTTTTGAGTAAACCATCCAGAAAATTTAAAGCAATATTAAGTGTTCAGACAAAAAAAAAAAATTAAAAAATAGATACCGTTTTGCTAGAAAATAATATTAATTAACCGAACCAAATTATTTCATTTAACCGGTTAAGACTATCTCTACTACCTTCGGAAACTCTCGAAGCTTTGCTCAAATTTTTGTCTCAGCATCACTCATCTTTTATGTTCATTCATGATCTTTTCGGATCCTTCACTCTCCTTACGTCATTTTCGTACTATATCGACCGCCAACCGATTACCCAATTCTCAACCGGTTGTACCGGGTCAACTGATTAAAAATTTTCCCAATCGGTTAACCGAAATTTATTCGGTTCGAGTCGATTAACTGATTATAGCCCAACCGATTCAAATCACTAGTCTAGATTATCTTACAAGTATCCCACACCGACTCTTTCATTTTCAAAAGCACACATATAACTAACAGTACCCAAAATTACCATAGAGCATAATGACAATTACCATTTGTTAGGGCTGGGTAACTTGCGTATGTTATTTTAACTAACGCAAGTTTTATTTTTTAAGATGTAACTAGGGAATATATTATATGCCTCTTTTTAAATAACTATTTTAACTTGATATTTCAAAACTCAAATCATTCACTGATACATATTTTCCATTATCTTCCATATCGTCAGATTTATGCGGTGCATTGACTGTCTTATCAGCTTTCAAAAATTGCTTCTTTATTTCGTTTTCATCGTCAAAACTTGCTATTTCTTCGTTCCAAAAAATAATTGTAGCATTAATAGATTTGGCTGTATGTCGTTTGTTTGAATCAGGATTCATACACCTCTCAACTAATCTAACATAACATTCAGGTGTCCCAGGAACAAATTCAGATCCGTCAAAAGCTTTTTTGCCGATTGCTATTTCTTTCATGATAACACCAAGGCTATAAACATCAGCTGCTGGTGTAAACTTTTTATGATCCATTAGAACTTCTGGAGCGATGTAATGCTTAATTCCGAATTTTTTACTTGCTTTAGCAAGCCCCAAATCTGCAATATACGCGCTATACAAATCATCCAGCAAAATATTGCCACTATGTAAATCTCTATGCTCGAGTCCTTGGGAATGAATAATTGCAAGATCAGAGGTTATACAATGCAGCAATTTCAATTTATCTGTCCACTCCATTTTCACAATAAGGTCAAGATTCTTATCTAAAGAACCCATAGTTGCATATTTTAAGATAAGTATATATTTTCCCGTCCCATCCCTTGATATACCATGGCATTTTAAAAATGAGGGATTCTCGTATCCGATTTCGCAATATGTTTTCAGCTTTAAACAAGTATATTAATTTTAAAAAAAAACATATAATAAAAAATGATAGCAAAAGAGATGATGATAAAAATACCTCGTCTAAATAATTTTTATGATCATGAATTTTTTTAAGTGCAATTGTAATAGTTTTACTATATTTACTGTTTTTTTTTTTTCATTTCGCACTATATACAGTCGCAAAGCCACCTTCTCCAATTTCTTTGATATCTTTAAATTCATTATAAGGTACCCATGCTAATTGATATCTCTTGTCATTTAATAATTGCTTTACAACATCGTCAATTTCAAGATTGTCATGTGTTGATTTAATCATTTCGTGAGATTGGTTTCTTTCCATTTGAAACCAATTATTGGCTTTTTGTATATCAATTTGTGTTCCGATTCCATTTCGATAACAATATCCAAGTAAACCCATTGCATCATTATCCCCCATCTCTGCACATTTTTTATAATATTCAAACGCCTTATGTTCGTCCTTTACAACTCCAATTCCATATTTATAACAATGGCCAACATTCTTTGTTCCACTGGAATGACCCATATTGGAAGATTTTTGGAAATAAATGAATGCTTCATGTTCGTTCTTTTCAACTCCGATTCCATTTTTATAACAATAACCAAGATTATTTGCTCCAATATAATCTCCCATATCAGCGGATTTTTTGAAATAAATGAACGCTTTAAATTTGTCCTTTTTAACTCCGATTCCATTTTTATAACAAACGCCAGTGTTAAATGCTCCATATGCATGATCCATATCAGCAGATTTTTTATAATAAATGTATGCATTATGTTTGTCCTTTTTAACTCCAATTCCATCCTTATAGCATTGCCCGACATTAAATGTTCCATAAGCATGACCCATATCGGCCGATTTTTTATAATATTTGAACGCTTTATTTTCATCCTTTTCAACTCCGATTCCATCTCGATAACAGTGACCAATATTAAATGTTTCATCGGCAGATTTTTTATAATACATTAGCGCTTTGTATTCATCAATTTCGACTCCAATTCCATTAAGGTAACAATATGCAACATTAAATGTTCCCTTAGCATGACCTATTTCAGCGGATTTTTTATAATAAATAAATGCCTTATGTTCATCTTTTTCAACTCCAATTCCTTCATAGTAACAACATCCGACATTATATGTTCCTTTAGCATGACCCATATCAGCGGCTTTTTGATAATAAATGAATGCCTTACTTTTATTCTCTTTAACTCCAATTCCATTTCGATAACAATTACCAACCTGAAATGTTCCATCAGCGTGACCCAATTCTGCTGATTTTTTATAACAAACGAATGCCTTATGCTCATCTTTTTCAACTTTAATTCCATTTCGGTAATAATATCCGATTTTATAAGTTCCTATAGCATTACCCATATTAGCAGATTTTAGATAAAAAATAAGTGCCTTATGTTCATCTTTTTCAACTCCGATTCCGTTTTGATAACAACGTCCAACATTATATATTCCATTAACGTCTCCCATCTCCGCTGATTTTTGATAATAAAGGAATGCCTTATCTTCATCTTTCTCAACTCCAATTCCGTTAAGATAACAGGCACCGGCATTAAATGCACCACCAACATTTCCCATATCTGCTGATTTTTTATAATAAATGAATGCCTTATGTTCATCCTTTTCAACTCCGATCCCATTAAGGTAACAATATCCAATATTATATGCACCATCAGCATCACCCATTTCTGCTAATTTTTGATAATAAATAAATGCCCTATGTTCATCTTTCTCAACTCCAATTCCATTTTTATAACAATATGCAACATTATGTGTTCCCTTAGCGTTTCCCATCTCTGCAGATTTTTGATAATAAATGAATGCCTTATGTTCGTCCTTTTTAACTGCAACTCCTTTATCATAACAATATCCAACATTATATGTTCCTTTAGCACAACCCATCTCTGCTGATTTTTGATAATAATTGAATGCCTTATATTCATCCTTTTCAACTCCAATTCCTTCATCATAACAATATCCAACATTAAATGTTCCCTCAGCATGCCCCATTTCTGCAGATTTATGATAGTAAATAAATGCCTTGTGTTCATCCTTTTCAACTCCAATTCCATATTGACAACAAACAGCAACATTAAATACTCCTTTAACATGACCCATCTCTGCGGATTTTTGATAATAAGTAAATGCCTTGTGTTTATCTTTTTCAACTCCGATCCCATTTCGATAACAGGCACCAACATTAAATGTTCCATTAGCATTCCCCATATCAGCTGATTTTTGATAATAAATGAATGCCTTATACTCATCCTTTTCAACTCCAATTCCCTCATCATAGCAATATCCAACATTATATGTTCCACTAGCACTCCCCATCTCGGCAGATTTTTGATAATAAATAAACGCTTTATGTTTATCTTTCTTAACTCCGATGCCTTTTTCATAACAGATACTAACGTTAAATGTTCCACTAGCGTCTCCCATATCAGAAGATTTTTGATAATAAATAAATGCCTTATGTTCATCCTTTCCAACTCCAATTCCATTTTGATAACAATATCCAACATTATATGTTCCACTAGCATTCCCCATCTCAGCAGATTTTTGATAATAAATGAATGCTTTATGTTCATCTTTCTCGATTCCAATTCCTTCATCATAACAATATCCAACATTATATGCACCATATCTGCTGATTTTTTATAATAAAGGAATGCCTTATCTTTATCTTTCTCAACTCCAATTCCGTTAAGATAACAGATGCCAGCATTAAATGCTCCATCAATATTTCCCATATCTGCTGACTTTTTATAATAAATTAATGCCTTATGTTCATCCTTTTCAACTCCGATTCCATTAAGGTAACAATATCCAATATTATATGCACCATCAGCGTCACAAATCTCTTCTAATTTTTGATAATAAATAAATGCCTTACGTTCATCCTTTTCAACTCCGATTCCATTAACAAACACCAACATTAAATATTCCGTTGGCACAACCCATCTCTGCCGATTTTTGATAATAAATGAATGCCTTGTGTTCATCCTTTTTGATTCCGATTCCATTAAAATAATAGACACCGACATTAAATGTTCCATTAGCATCTCCCATCTCTGCAGATTTTTTATAATATACGAATGCCTTGCTCTCGTCTTTTTCGACTCCGATACCTTTTTCATAACAATAGCCAACATTAAATGTTCCACGAACATTACCCATGCCAGCAGATTTTTGATAATATTCAAACGCCTTACATTCATTCTTTTCGACTCCGATACCATGTTGATAATTATACCCGAGATTAAAAAACTCGGGAGGATTTCTTTTGTTCATTTTTTCTTTAAAAAAAAAAAAAATTTATTACAGTAAATGATAATTTTCATTTATATTTTTAGAGTTCTTTTTATTTTTTGGGTTGTACGAAAAAAAAAAAAATGAATATTCTAATGGTTTATTGTGTACAACTCTTGCATGTCACTTTTCAGCCAATTATACATTACTGAGTTGCACAAAATGAAAATCAACGCTAATAAAATCCTTATTAACTTTTCCAATGGTTAGCGTTAGTGTACATACATGTGTACATACGTACGTACGTACAATCGATGATCAAATCCCTCAAAGTCAGGTCAGAATGATCGAATCCCAGATCTATTAATCTATTGTTATTTCTCATATTGCCGATTGAACTTTAATCTGTTTATGTATATAGTTTTTTAAGTGTTATAGATTATTTGGATTATATTTATATTGATTTTGATTTTGATATATAATATTATAATGAATAAATAAAATGTAAATTAAAATCGTAGAGAAAAAAGCAATTGCTAAAAAAAAAACTCAATGTTAAAACCAAATATTTTCCGGATCTATTTGCAAACGTCCTTGTTATTATAACGGTTTGTAAAAAGGTGTGACCAGGGTTTAAAATTCAGATCGAAATCTACTTGCACAATTGCAGCTGTGGCGCAAGTTTTGATTGCACAAACCAGCTACTAGTTGCACACAATTTCTCTTGCACTTGATTTTTTGTACAAGCTCCTCATTCAAATTTAATTGCACACCTGTGCATTTATATTTAGAACTTCTCTTGCACAAAAAAAAATCACTTACACATGTGCATCTTGTGCAGAGGTCACACCCAGGGTTTAAAATTTCCTTGCAGATCATGATGTCATGTAAAATCACGAGAAATCAGCCTTGGTGGATTTTTTTCGATTCTTGGAGAATTTTGGTTTTAACATTGAGTTTT